AATCTGATTCGGAATCATCAGTAGCCGCTGTCTGTTGAATCCAGAGCTCTGAACTCGGTCTGCTGCACGATCTAGAATCGCGAAACTATTCGTAGTGTTCGAGTCATCTTGAGTGCTGTCGGTTCTCTGCGCTCAACTCGGGCTGTGGGGGGGCTGCATGGCTGGTAATCACTGGAATCGATTCGGAGACATCAGGTGCGTCCGCTTTCGAATCCCAGAGCTCCGAACTCTGTCTGCTGCCGTAACTAGGTTCGCGAAACTATTCGTATTGTCCGAGTTATCCTCAGAGATGCTGTCGGTTTCCTGCAGTTAACTCGGGCTGTAGGGGGGCTGCAGCGCTGGTAATCACAGGAATCGATCCAGAGACATCAGACGCGTCCGCCTGTCGCATGCAGAGGTCTGAACTCGGTCTCATACTCGAGCTAGATTTGCCAAACTATTCGAATGTTCGAGTCATCTTGAGAGGTGCTGTCGATTTTTTACGCACGTAAATCGGGCTGTAGGAGAGCTACAGAGGTCGTACAGAAGACAATCCAGAAGCATCGGGGGCGTTCGGCTGTTACATCGGAGAGGTCTTAAACTGCTTGGGCTGAAAAATTGTTTTCAGTGTATTTTTTTTCGACATTATATGTTGTCAGGAAGCTCTACGAGTCCCCCGGCGGTAACGAAGGTTGACGGAAAAACCGCCGGCGCCCATTCAGACCTCTGGAGGCAACAAACGAACGCGCCTGATGATTCTGACTCGACAAGGTGTGCTTACCAGCTCTGTAGCTGTCCTCTATCTCGAGTTTAGTACAAAATACCGACAACGCGTATCAAGATGACTCGAAACGGCCGATCCCGCCAGTGTGCTTTTTGGCAGTGAAAGGTACCCGATCGAGCTTAGATCAAGATGGCGAGCGGGAATCAGATCGAATATTTTTTTCAGCTTTCACCGAAAGTCGGTTGATTCAAGTGGGGAACCGACAGCACCTCTCAGATCACTCGTATAATACGAATAGTTTCGCGGATGTAGCTCGAGTAGCAGACCGAGTCCAGATCTCTCGATGAAACGGGGCACGTGTTTTCACGTGTCCAGGCCACCCAGGGGGGTATCTAACCTGGTGGTCCTGCGCTGGAACCGTGTGATTTCACGTGTTCAGGCCACCCAGGTGGGTATCTAACATGGTGGTCCCGAGCTGGGACCACGTGTTTTCACGTGTTCAGGCCATTCAGGAGGGTATCTAACATGGTGGTCCTGCGCTGGAACCGTGTGTTTTCACTTGTCCAGGCCACCCAGGTGGGTATCTAACATGGTGGTCCCGAGCTGGAACCACGTGTTTTCACGTGTTCAGGCCACCCAGGGTATCTAACATGGTGGTCCCGAGCTGGAATCACGTGTTTTCGCGTGTCCGGGCCACCCAGGAGGATATCTAACATGGTGGTCCTGAGCTGGCCCAGGGGGTATCTAACATGGTGGTCCCGAGCTGGAACCGCGTGTTTTCACGTGTGCAGGCCACCAGGTGGGTATCTAACATGGAGGTCCTGCGCTGGAACCGTGTGTTTTCACATGTTCACGCCACCCAGGGGGTACGTAACATGGTGTTTTTGTGCTCCTGCGCTGCAGGCGCATGTTCTTAGGGGTCTGGGCCACTCCCTCTTGTGCTTGCACGTGTCCAGCCCGCCCAGGCTGGTATCTAACATTTTGCTTCTGCGCTGCAGCCGCGTGGTTTTTGGGGGTCCAGGCCACTCAGAAGGGTTTCTAATAGTGGCCTCCTGGGGCCTTCCTGGGCTTGGAACGGAGCGTCGAGAGTTCATTTGCATCTGGTATCGATTGCAATAGCGCGCGGACGGCGCGAGCGGCATGGTGGACAGCAGCACAATTCAATATCGCGCGGCACAGTTCCACGCGGTATGACACATTTCAACTCAGCACACGGCGCAGCACAGCCCGTGGCACGGTACATCATCATCATCGTTACCTTGAGCATTGCAATTGCCCGTCGGCCAAGTGGGTGTCGTGAAACGTTTCCATGCTTATCATTTCTATATTCCTTTCCGGGTTCGTGGGTCGATCATGTTTGAGGATTGTGAGAGATTCGAAAATTCGTTTTTGAAATGCCGATTTTTGCGCCGTGCAGTCGATGATTCTGCGTGCGACTGTGCAGTTCTCAGGGTTCTAGCTGTCGCGCAGCTCTCACAAATCTGGAGCAACTGTGAACAACGACCACCGCGGCCAGGACCACGGCCAGGACACCCAGGACCACAACCACTACGATAGGGCTGGCGGCTGAAGAGGCGGGGTAGGCAGGGGCCCCGTGATCGCCCGCCACCAGTGCGCCGCCGTGACGTCCGGCCGACGCTCTGGGCGCTTGACCATCGTTGTCGGGCGTCGTCCACTGCGGTCCCACGTGCTCCGCAGCCCCAGCGCTCGTCAGGGCGCGACGTGCGGGTGGTGGCCAGCGATGAGGAGCCCCGTCGGGGCCCGGAGGAAGAGGCGCCATGGTCGATGCGGCGCAGCTCGTGGTGGGTCTCCAGCAGCTGGTGCGGCCAGCGCGGCTGGGGCGACTTCTTGGGCGGGGGCGACCGCTGGAGCGGCCTTTGGCGCTGAGGTGGTCGACCCGTAAATCTGTCGCGAGCGTCCGGGCGTGCTGGCGCGGCGCGGAGGCAGGCGCCTTTGTGTCGGGAGCGCGCGCGCCCTCCCCTCCTCCCGTATCGGGCTCATATTGGGATGCATGCGCCTACTGTAGATTTGAATGCCGGATGATATTGCGATGGCGACAAGAAGGGCCCCAGGTTCAATGTGGAACTTTTGCCGCGCGATGTGCGAGTGCAAGATGAACAACCATATCAACGTAAACGCACGTCTACGAGTACGAATATCCCCCATGTGGACTTTTTTCGGCACGGAGCTTTTCTGCAGGATTTTTGCCACTGGGAGGGTGCCTAGAAAGGTGCGCGCCCCTTGAACCTTTTTGGGGCTGTCTTGGGGCATCTTGGAGGTGCGTAGGAGGCCATATTGAACCATGTTCGAATATTTTGAGCCATCTTGGAGGCAGTCTTGGACTCGGAAGGCCTTCCTGGGACCATCTTAGGCCCGCCTTGAACCTCTAACTACCAGCCCGCACCCCCTCCCAGGCCCAGGGTAGCAGCAGGGGGAGGGGTGAAGCTACCGCCTAGAACGCCGTCTAGCTCACCCCCACCCGCCCTCCGAACACGTAAGTAGTACACGGCTGTCAGCATATCTCTTAGGAGCGCCACGCATGCCATGCGCGCCGCGGGTTTCAGGTGCACCGTGCACCTTTGAGGCTGAAACATGCCAGGCGCGGCTGGTGCGACTCGTGCTTCACGTGCGCCACCTCTGCCACGTGTTCCAGCCGCGCCAGGTTCGACAGATATGGGGGGCCAATAGGGGCCCCAAAGTTCCTGGGGCCGGGGCCCCAAAGAGTTCCGATTTTTGAGGCTCCCGAAACCGAAGTGCCGGGCATTCTGTGGGAATGCGTGCTTCTCTAGTGAGCGCAAAGCAGCGGTGCCGACGGTCAACGAGAGACATGTTTTGGGAGTTGTGGATTACATGAGAGCTTCGAGAAAAAACGCCCCCCCCTGGAAGAGTACAGAGCGGATGGCGCCAGCAACGCGCAGGTGGAGAAGCAGGAGCACGCGCTCGCTGGACAAACGGCGTCGCCACACCATCCCCGTCAAAACACAGGAGGAAAACGGGTTCATGCGTCCCCGCCTTCTTTATCAAAAACCAATGCACAGTGGTCGCGGGGCGCCTGCGCATGTTCCAAATTTGGAGGCAACGTTTTTTCTGTGTGTTTTTTTCAGGGGAGGGATGGTTGGTCTGCGCGCATCAAACAATATGCTGGCACCCTCGCCGTCCTTGTCAAAAACCAAAGCAAAGTGGTCACGAGCCGCCCGTGCATATTCCAGATTTCGAGGCAAAGTCCATTTCCCATTTTTTTCTACACGGGGGCGGTGGGGGGATGGCTGCCCGCATTGGTCCGTGTTGGCTGCTGGTTGCCTGGGGGAGGGGGTGTTCATTCATAGGGAACAGTGAGTTGCCCCTCCCCCGAGCATGGGAAGGAGGGGGAGAAACAGCGAAAAAGGGCAAACCACTTACAGAAGGCTGGCCGGTGGCACTTTGCGGTCGCGGCCCATCCCCCTCACGGACAAGTTTTTCACGACTCGAGGCTGTCATGGATTCGGGGGCCCCCAAACGGTGCGGTGACCACACCGTGCGGTGACTCGGTGGGGATTCGGGGTCACCACACGGTTTTGGGACTCGGGTCGTCCTCCGAGGACGTCTCGGGCGACCGAGGCTTCCGGGGTCCCAAGACCGTGCTGCGACGGACCGTGCGGTGAGGTCTTGGGGGATTTCGAGGTCACCGCACGGTTTGTCACCGCACCGTTTCGGGACTCCAGGCGGAGGACGAGGAGGCGGAGGCGGAGGAGGAGGAGGAGGAGGAGGAGGAGGAGGAGGAGGAGGAGGAGGAGGAGGAGGAGGAGGAGGAGGAGGAGGAGGAGGAGGAGGAGGAGGAGGAGGAGGAGGATGGAGGAGGAGGAGGAGGAGGATGATGAGGAGGAGGATACGGATGGAGGAGAGGAGATGAGATGAGAGATTGGAGGAGGAGGATAGGAGGATGATGGATGAGGATGAGGATGATGATGATGATGATGATGGATGATGATGATGATGATGATGATGATGATGATGATGATGATGATGATGAGATGATGATGATGATGATGATGATGATGATGATGAATGATGATGATGATGATGATGATGATGATGATGATGATGATGATGATGATGATGATGATGATGATGATGATGATGATGATGATGATGATGATGATGATGATGATGTGATGTGAGATGATGATGATGATGATGATGATGATGAGGATGATGATGATGATGAGGATGATGATGATGGGAGGATGAGGAGGAGGAGGAGGAGGAGGAGGAGGAGGAGGAGGAGGAGGCGGAGGAGGAGGAGGAGGCTGTCATGGATGCAGGGGGTCGTCCGCTGCCAGCTCGGACGGACGACAGCCTTCCAGGCCGCGCCCGCGCAGGCGATGCGGCGGCGCCGCCACGCCGTCGGGGCGAGGCGGGGGGCAGCGTAGCGGCAGGGGCCCGCCCGGGGCGCCCGGCGCCTCCACGCCGCCGGCGCGCCGAGGGGGAAAGTGAGAGGGGCAGACCACGTAAGGCGGCGGGGGTTCTTCCGGATGCAGCTCCTGGGAGGTCAAATTCTGTTTTCGCCCTGGTCCGAAATCGGGCTTAATCTGGCTAAATCCCGGTTAATCCGGCTTAATCCCGTTTAATCCCGCTTTATCCAGCTTAATCCCGCTTAATCCGAGGCCCACTCCGGCGTAACAGCTCCCAAATGGGGCTTAATCCTCCTGAATCTTTCCGACGGAAACCTCCCAGTAGTTGCCTCCTAAGGTTCTCAGAAACTCTTTTGTCGGTTTCGATCGGAATGGGTACGGGAAGAATGAGGGTCAAGACCAACGGCAGCTCCTACTCGGATGGAGCCGTGATCGATGTGGGTGTCGCCGCGGGCGTTTTCCATTTGAGGTGGAAGGTGGTCTGCCCGAGAGCGGCCGCTGTCAATTTTGGACAGCGTTGGCTTTTCGGCCTCGTGCCCGTTTTCTACCGCACGCATGCCGGGCGTCCACGTCTTAGCTTGCCGAGAAACCTCCCGCGGCCTCGGAGTCGGCCCAGGAGAGCTGCCCAGGAGGCCGGAGGCCCCCTGAGCCTCCCGCGAGATGGCCCGCCCCATCTCCGCGTCTCTCCCTGGGCGCTCCGCCGATCCATGTCGGTGGGCGCCACCACCGTCTGCATTCAGGGCTTCCCCGCGGATGCCTCGACCAGGGAGCTGAAGAACCTCTGCCGCTTCATGGGCGGCTTCGTGCACGCGCACGTCGCCTTCGCGGCGGCGGGGCCAGGGGCCCTGCCCTCGGCCCTGTTCTGCAAGTTCGAGGCGCCCGAGGCGGCAGTGGCCGCCATCGAAGTCGTGGGCGGGCAGCCCTACGACGTGGACGCGCCGGGCAACGTGCTGAAGGCTCCGGGCCCACGCCGTGTTTCGCCCGCGCAATTCTCTTCCTCCCACAGGCCCCCCCTCCACCATCTCCCCCCCCGCTTCCCCTCCTCCCACCATGTCTCTACCTTTCCTTTCCCCCTTCCCGCCCCCCCCCTTCCCCCCCCCCCCCCTCCCCTGCACTTCCCCCTCTCCCATCCACCTCTCCCTCCCGTTCCCCCTTCTCCTCCTTCTCCTCTTTTCCCCCCTCCTCCACGCCTTCCCCTGGACTGGAGAAGGAGAAATGGAAGAAAGAGGATGATGAGAACGATGAGGAGATGGATGGATGGATGGATGGATGGATGGATGGATGGATGGACGGATGGATAGATGGATGGATGGATGGATGGATCGATGGTGGTTCTGGTGGTGGTGATGCTGCTGCGGCTGATGATGAGGATGATGATGGTGGTGGTGGTGGTGTTGATGATGCTGCTGCTGCTGACGACGACGATGATGATGATGATGATGACGATGATGATGATGATGATGATGATGATGATGATGATGATAGCAATGATGATGATGATGATGATGATGATGATGATGATGATGATGATGATGATGATGATGATGCTGATGATGATGATGATGATAAAAGGGAGGATCATGAGGATGAGGAGCAGGATGAAGAGGGGGATGATGATGAGGAGGAGGAGGAGGAGAAGCAGAAGGAGGAGGAGGAGGAGGAGGAGGAGGATGATAATGAGGAGGAGAAGGAGGAAGAGGAGGTGGAGGAGGATGGGGAGCATGGGGAGGAGAAGGAGGAGGAGGAGGAGGAGGATTAGGAGGAGGATTAGGAGGAGGATGAGGAGGAGGATGAGGAGGAGGAGGAGGAGCAGGAGCAGTGGGAGGAGGAGGAAGGGGAGGGAGAGCAGAAGGAAGTTGAGGATGAGGATGGTGAGGAGGAGGAGGAGCAGAATGTGGAGGAGGAGAAGGACAAGGAGAAGGAGGACGAGGAGGAAGAGGAGGAGGAGGAGGGCACTGAGGAGGAAAAGAAGGGATGATGATGATGCTGCTGATGATGATGATGATGCTGACCATGATGCTGACCATGATGATGATGATGATGATGATGATGATGATGATGATGATGATGATGGATGATGGGGATGATGATGATGATGATGATGATGATGATGAAGATGAGGATGCTGCTGTTGATGATGGTGATACTGAGAATGATGAGGATGATGGTGATGCCGTTGAAGATGACGATGAGGATGCTGTTGTTGCTGATGTTGATGATGACGCTGATGTTGATGATGCTGATGATGATGCTAATGCTGATGATGATGCTGGTGATGATGATGCTTATGATGATGACGATGATGCTGGTGGTGGTGGTGATGATGATGATGACGATGATGACGGTGGTGGTGATGGTGGTGGTGGTGGGGGTAGTGATGATGATGATGATGCTGGTGCTGATGATGATGCTGCTACTAATGATCATGATGATGCTTATGAGGATGAGGATGATGATGGGGTTGAAGATGAGGATTGTGATGATGGTGCTGATGATGATGATGATGCCGTTGCTGATGATGCTGATGATGCTGATGATGATGCTGATGAGGATGATGAGGATGATGATGATGATGCTGATATTGATGCTGATGATGCTGCTGATTATGATGGTGGCGCTGATGCTGATGCTGATGCTGATGATGATGATGATGATGATGATGATGATGATGATGATGATGAGTGTAATGATGACTATGATGATGATGGTGCTGTTGTTGCTTATGATGATGATGATGATGTTGATGCTGCTGCTGATGATGCTGATGAGGATTCTGATGATGATGTCGATGATGCTGATGATAATGATGCTGATGGTGATGCTGATGATGCTGACAACGATGATGATGCTGATGATGATGATTATGATGATGATGATGATGCCGATGATGATGCTGATGCTGATGATGATGATGCTGATGATGATGGTGGTGGTGGTGGTGGTGGTGATGTTGATGGTGATGATGCTGATGATTCTGATAATGATGTTGTTGGTGGTTGTGGTTGTGTTGGTGATTATGATGATGCTGTTGATGATGTTGACGCTGATGCTGACGCTGATGATGATGGCGATCTTCATGCTGATGACGATGACGATGATGTTGATGGTCATGATGATGATGATGATGATGACGATGATGATGATGATGATGATGATGATGATGATGATGATGATGATGATGCTGTTGCTGATAATGATGGTGCTGCTGATGATGATGATGATGATCATGATGTTTCTGATGCTGATGATGAGGAGGAGGAGTTGAATGATACTTACGAGGAGTATGAGGATGATAATGATGGATGACGTTGGTAGTGATGATGCTGATCATGATCATGATGATGCTGATGATGGTGAATAAGGATAAAAATAATAAGAGTAACAATCGTCATAATCATAATCAGAGAAAGCAGACAACACATAATACTAGTACCATGAAGAAGGCGATGAATATTAGCATTAATGGTAATAAGCCTGATGGCAATAACAATTAACATACTACTAATTATCATACTACGAATAATTCAAAGAGGGGGAGGAGGAGGAGGAGGAGGAGGAGGAGGAGGAGGAGGAGGAGGAAGAGGAGGCTGAGGAGGAGGAGGAAGAAGAGGACCATTGGACACCCAAACGTCATCAACGATGTTGTTGTAAACCCTCCCTCCACGGTCCCTCCTTCAGGGGCCCCTACAACGGTTTATTTCCACTGGGGAAGCTGCCTCGTTGGAAAACAACCGTTTCAAGACCTTGCAGCATGCCAACGCAATTTGCTCGGGGTTCCAACTCCACGGAACAACCTGACTGTTGCGCCAGAGCGCCATTCCTGAGATGTCAACACAGCGAATCAAAGTAATTGTTGCGCCCTCATAATCCTGAATCCTTCCAGTAACACCGTTTTTGGTACGCTGTTCATGGGGACCCGTGAAACGCTTGCATTTGGTTTGCACGAACGCGCGGTGCTAAGGCGAGACCCACATTTTGAAAAGAAACCTACCTCAATCCGTGAAACTCTTGCATTTCTTTAAAAGCAAATTGGGCGGCGCTGAAGCGAGAGCCTCTTTGAGAACCACAGGCCCGCATTCCGTGAAACTCTTTGCAACTGTGAAAATCATTTTGAGAAACACCCACCTTCAATCGTGAAGCGCTTGCAGTTTTCTAAAACGAATGCGCGCGGCGCTGAAGCGAGAACCACATTGTGAAAACGACCCGCCTCCAAACAGTGTAACTCTTGCGCGTATTTAAAAAGAAGCTGTGCGCGGTGCCTAAAGCGAGAACAACATTTTGAAAACCACCCGCCCCCAATCCGCGAATCGGTTGTCATGTTTGGAACTTCAGGGTCATAAAGGGTGGTGCAGTCTCATGCGAAACGCCCGACGCGCCCTAAAAACTTGCCTCGGGGTGCGACAGGGGAGGTTATTTATGAGGAAGAGGAATGGAGGAGGGCGATGAGGAGGGGGAGGGGGTGGGGAGGAGGAGGAGGAGGAGGAGGAGGAGGAGGAGGAGGAGGAGGAGGAGGAGGAGGAGGAGGTGGTGCAGTAGGAGGAGGAGGAGGAGGAGGAAGCGGAGGAAGGAGGAGGAGGAGGATGAGGAGGAGGAGGCGGAGGCGGAGACGGAGGGGTAGCAATAGTAGTAGTGGTGGTAGTAGTCGTCGTAGCAGGAGTAGTCGTACTACTACTAGTAGTAGTAGTAGTAGTAGTAGTAGTAGTAGTAGTAGTAGTAGTAGTAGCAGTAGCAGTAGCAGTAGCAATAGCAGTAGGTCGCCGTCGTCGTCGTCGTAGTAGTAGTAGTAACAGTATTGGCAGTAGTAGTAGTCGTAGTAGTTGTAGTAGTAGTCGTAGTAGTAGTAGTAGTAGTAGTAGTAGTAGTAGTAGTAGTAGTAGTATGCGTATTATTTTTAGTAGTAGTAGTAGTATTAGTAGTAGTAGTAGTAGTAGTAGTAGTAGTAGTGGCGGTGGTGCTGGTAGCAGTAATAGTCGTAATAGTAGTAGTAGTCGCAATGGTAGTAGTAGTAGAAAATGTGTAGTATTAGTAGTAGTGGTAGTCGTAGTAGTAGTAGTAGTCGTACTAGTTGTAGCCGTAGTAGTAGTAGTAGTAGTAGTAGTAGTAGTAGTAGTAGTAGTAGTTAGTAGTAGTAGTAGTAGTAGTAGTAGTAGTAGTAGTAGTAGTAGTAGTAGTGTAGTAGTAGTAGTAGTAGTAGTAGTAGTAGTAGTAGTAGTAGTAGTAGTAGTAGTAGTAGTAGTAGTAGTAGTAGTAGTAGTAGTAGTAGTAGTAGTATAGTCGTAGTAGTCGTAGTCGTAGTTAGTAGTCTTGTAGTAGTAGTTGTAGTAGTAGTAGTAGTAGCGAGTCGCAGCAGTAGTAGTAGTAGTAGTAGTAGTAGTAGTAGTAGTATTAGTAGTAGTAGTAGTAGTAGTAGTAGTCGTAGTCGTAGTAGTAGTAGTAGTAGTAGTTGTAGTAGTAGTATTCGTAGTTGTAATAGTGGTCGTAGTAGTCGTAGACGAAGAAGAAGTAGTATTAGCAGTAGTAGTAATAGTAGTGTTATGAGTAGTAGTAGTTCTGGTAGTAGTAGTCGTCTTAGTCGTACTCGTAGTGGTAGTAGTAGTCGTAGTAGTAGTAGTAGTAGTAGTAGTAGTAGTAGTTAGTAGTAGCGTAGTATAGTAGTTAGTAAGTAGTAGTAGTAGTAGTAGTGTGTATAGTCGTAGTCTTAGTCGTAGTCGTAGTTAGCGTAGTAGTAGTTGTTCAGTAGTTAGTAGTAGTAGTAGTAGTAGTAGTAGTAGTAGTGTAGTATAGTAGTAGTAGGGTAGTAGTAAGGGTAGTTAGTAGTGTAGTGTAGTAAGTAGTAGTAGTAGTAAGTAGGTATATAATAGTAAGTAGTTGTTAGTAGTGTAGTAGTAGTTGTAGTAGTAGCGTAGTAGTAGAGTAGTTAGTAGTAGTG